GAGCCTGAGCTCTGGCATCTGCCATCCCTCCTGGTCTGCGAGCTGGGCACCGCCCCGTTTCCTTCTCCATCCCTTCCACCCCTTCTGCTTTCATCCCCTCCTTCTCCACCACGGAGGGCCAGCCTGCCTCTCTGAAGGCCCTACATCTTCTTTCTAAGGGACTGGAGCCTTCCTCTTGTTCCTGGTCTACTGGCTGGCGGACCTGGAAGGATCAGTGCCACACACCTGGATACCCGGACAGAAGCCTCTCAACTTCCTGACTTGCAGAGACGGGAACAAAGTTACCTGCCCCAGAAAGCCGGCAGTTCTGGAAATCACCGACAGATGGCGACAGGGGCTGCCCATGGCTGGCCAGTTCCGTCTTTGCCGAGGTTCTAAGGAAAGCAACTTCTCTAGTCCCTGCTGCACTGCTTCTTGGCTGACTGACTGGTGTTCCCTGGTTCCGGCCACCTTGGGAATTAGGACCAGGCCTGTTGGACCTCCCAGCACTGCCCCATAACCTGCCTGTTCCAAGGCTAGGTTTGGTCATCTGGTCCACCCCAGTTCCACTGCCCCTACTCACTCCCCTCCCAGTCACCCTGAGTCTCCGGGGGCCCTCGTGTGTCCCCTTGGGGCCAACCAGAGATGGGACAGACAAGCAGAGATGGAGCCAGGTGGGCAGACAGGAGTTGAAGCACAGAAGGCACTGGAATTCAGAGTGTGATGGAGCGGATAGGCATGGTTTGGGCACACGGAGGGTGGAGGCCTGGCCAAGGCAGTAAGTAGATCTTGCCTGCAGCTCTACCGACAAACAGCAACCACACCCCTGCACTTAATTCCTCGCTCCCCAGGGAGAGCGAGGTACGGACACTCATCCCCTCTGTTGAAAGTTTTTTGATGACTTTATCTCTGGCACCTTGACAGCCTCTCCTGTTCCCTTTCAGTTTTGCAGGAAGGAGGCGATCAGCTCTTTGATGTAGAAGCATTTGATCAGGGAGTGGGGCAGGCAGATGAGGGGGGGAAAACCCAAGGAGAAAGGCAGGCCGGGGTCAAGACGATGGATGGGGTCGGGGTGCGGTAGAGAGAGGGCCTTCTGGTTCCCTTCACAACGGGCTTCAACTTTGCTTTTTAAAAATTTAGGTATAACTTGCCTTCCATCAAGTTTACTCCTTTTAAATGTATAATTCAATAATTTCTAGTCCATTTACAGAGTTATACAACCATTACCAGAACCCAATTTCAGAACATTTCCTCAAACTTAATATTGACATTATTTTCAGTGAATTTCTCCTTAAAGGCCCAGAATTTATGGGACTTCCCCTTCTGGGAAGGAGAGAAGGTACCTTTCCCATAACTTGACACCGGGGTCCCGTTACCAGCCCACACCATGAATTAATATTTTTATAAATCTTGCAGCTGTCTAAAGAATAGTCCAATTTCTTGCTCTGTGTGTGTGTGTGTGTATGTTGCATATCAGAAGCCTTGATTTGTTAAATGCTGTAATTTTCATTAATCCTTTTTTGGAATCTCTTCTTTGGGTAAAGTACTAAGAGGCTCAGACCTCTCGGGTCTCAGGCCAGCACAGGAAAACAGAAAGATGAAGGGAACACACAGGACTCAGGGCAAGGTGAATCAGCGCTTCTGGCTCTCTCTTTCCTAACAGGCAGCACGTACAATACTCAGCCTGCTGCCTTGGAACACGAATGCAGAGACGGGCTTTTCTATAGTTAGTGCTCCCCTATAATGAAGTGCTGTTAACGCTTGGCTTGCCTGCAGTGGTCCTTTGAAACACACACATTCTACCAGCTTCTGGAAATGTCTGCGAGAAGGTCGCTGTGGCGTGAGACAGATGAGCAGTGGGGTCAGGATGGTTACAGGGGTGCTGGGGGTGGGGAGGAAGCTTCTGACCTTCCTGAGGCCTTGGGAGCTGGGGTCATCTTCCGCGTGAAACTCACACGTTCAAGCCCAAGGCCAAGCGTGCCCCTCAAGGTCAAATATAAGATGTTTTTTAATGGACCACCTGCTGTTTCAAGCCCCCCTACTCTTCCTCAGCACAGGGGCAAGGGCCGCCAGGGACAGCTTTGTCTTTGCCTGGGGCGGCCCTTGGGAAGAAGGAGGAAGCAGAAGGTGGTGGTGGTGATGGGGAGGCAGGAGGGGGACGGGTACTCCCTGGCAAGGTCATCAGTTTGGCTCACATGGCCTCATTATCCTGTTCACCATTGTGTCCCCGGGTCAGCAGTTTGGGCAGCTTCCGCTGCCTTCTCGAAGCCATTCTTTCCCTGCCCCGCCCTGCCCTGTGCAGGCACCACCCTTTGAGTCATGGGTCATGGTCTGGTGGACAGAAGTTTGGGGATTAGTACGGACAGACGTGGGTTCTTACAAGTAAGTTATCTCATCTTTCTGGGTTGTGAGGAGTAGAAGTGAACACATGTGCATGACGTGTGTTGAGGAAACAGGAGAGTAAGTGATGGACCAGCCCGTTCACGTCTCTGATCTCATTTTAAGCCTCCCGTGAAGGGGGCAGGGCGAGGAGTAGTGTTCCCATTTCACGGAAGGGGAAACTGACTGAACAAGGATACCCAAAAAGCCGGAATGCAGCTCAGGGCTGGGACACAAAGGCTGGACCCTCCCCACTGTCCTGTCCCCATTGTCACAGTCAGGGGTCCCCCGGAGGCCGGCTCCCCTCACCCACCCCACACTTTCAGTCCTGCTGCCTGGAGAGATCTCAGATTATTACCTGTGATTCAGCAGAGACGCTGGAAGCCAGCGCTGAGAGAAGGCTGCCCCCTTAGACCCCTGTCCCTCTGTGCACCCCTGGGCAGCTGGGAGGGGGCTGTTTGTCCATGGCGCTGCTGGTGCTTTCCCTTCCAGGTGTGCAGACCACTGGCCCCTGCTTGAACCTAGTTTGAGAGGTGACTTAGGTGAAGTGCACGTCTTACATGCTCGGTTGGATGGATTTAACACGTTCGCACCATTTTAAGTTCTATCCCTTTCTTCTCTCTGGGGGTGGAGTTTGGCAAGAGGATGAGAGAGAGACCTCGGTGCCCTGGCCTTCTCTGGATTGATCTCCAGTCCGGTTTCCCTTCCCCAGGACGTGCGGTGGGCATGTGAGCATGGGGCGATGGGGGCCCCGTGTGGTCCCTGCTTTCGTGAGGTCTCACAGTCTTTCCATGAAAAGGAGGGCACGCGGTGACACCTGGGCATAGGTGATCAAATACAGAAAGAGGCATTGCAGGGCATGGAGGTGAAGGAGGGGGCTCAGAGAGGCCAGAGGAA